AAACCAGGAGTGCTTTGCAAGCTCGACATTGAGAAGGCCTACGACCATGTGAATTGGGCTTTCCTCCTCAAAGTATTGAAAGATATGGGGTTTGGCGACAAATGGGTCAACTGGATTAAATTCTGCATATCCACTGTGAAATTTTCACTTATAATTAATGGTAATCCAGAGGGTTTCTTTCAATCACAGAGAGGTCTGCGACAAGGCGACCCCATGTCACCTTTTCTGTTCATTCTAGTTATGGAAGGCCTAAACTCCATGATTAGGAAAGCAAGGGAGAATGGACGGATTAGAGGTTTTTGTGCTAACATAAATATGAACAATGCTATGGAGGTATCCCATCTACTGTATGCAGATGACTCCCTTGTATTTTGTGATGCAGAAGTTACACAAATAAGGCACCTGAGAGCTATCCTAACAATCTTTGAGGGCATTTCGGGACTTCATGTCAACTGGCACAAAAGCTGCCTCTATCCAGTGAACCAAGTCCCTAATATGCAGACCCTAGCTGAGAATCTAGGATGCCAAGTGGCCTCCCTTCCTACTAAATACCTAGGAATGCCTCTTGGAGCAAAAAATAAAGAGCTAGAAGTGTGGTGTGAGGTTCTGGAAAGAAGTGAGAGAAAATTAGCAACATGGAAAAGCCAGTATCTATCTTTGGGTGGCAGGCTGACTCTTATAAAATCAGTCATGGACAGCCAACCTACCTATATGATGAGTCTATTCCCTCTACCAGGTAACATAGAGAAGAAAATCAACAAGGCTAGAAGAGCTTTCCTATGGCAGGGCAACAAGGAGAAGAAGGGGTACAATCTAGTAAAATGGGATAAGGTGATCCTTAACAAAAAACAGGGTGGGATGGGCATTAAGAAGCTAGGTGCACAGAATGAAAGTCTACTGAAGAAATGGTTATGGAGATTCTGTTGTGAAGATGTGGCACTATGGAGGAGATTCATTTCACAAAAATATGGGCTCCAGAATAGTTGGACCACTGAGGAGGTGACTGGTACTTTTGGATGCTCCGTGTGGAAAACAATTAGAAGACTGTGGCCCTCTTTCATTAACAACCTGAAGTACAGAATTAGGGATGGGGAGAAGACAAGTTTCTGGAATGAATTGTGGATTGGGGAAGAGGTTCTGAGGACTACCTTTCCTGATCTATACATCTTGAGCTTGCAACAGATGGATAAGGTGGCACAAGTATGGAGTCCTCAAGGGTGGAACTTGATTTTTAGGAGGGCCATGAATGATTGGGAAATAAATAGAGTAGCTGATTTGCTGCAGACTCTAAATGCTTTCCCAGGAGTAAGTGTAGGTTCTGATTTGCCAATTTGGAAACTACATAGCAAGGGGTCTTTTACCATGAAATCATGTTATTGGAGTTTGAACTTCAGCCAGACAATGACAGCAAAATGGCCTTGGAAACTGATTTGGAAGGTTAAAATACCACACAAAATCTCATGTTTCAGTTGGCTGGTGGTCAGGAGAGCCTGTTTAACACACGAAGTACTACAGAGAAGAGGTATTCAGATTTGCTCTAGGTGTTTTATGTGTGAGCAAGAGGCAGAGATAAATAGTCACCTGTTCATTCATTGCAAAACAGCTGTAAATCTGAGGAACATGTTCTTCTGTTTACTTGGGATAAGTTGGGTAATGCCCAGGACCTCCTTTGACATGTTGAAAAGCTGGGAAGGAGTTGGAAGAAGGGGATCACAAGAAGATTGGTGGAGAAGTATCCCAGCATGTGTTTGGTGGACTTTATGGAAAAAGAGAAATGAAAGATGTTTTGAAGGAAAAGCTAGTTGTTTCCAGAAGATCAAGACGAAGAGTATAAGTCTTTTGTATTTTTGGTGTAAACATGATATAGTGGGGGAAATAGATAGTTTAGTTGATTTCAAAAGACAATTGTAAAGCCTCTTATCTAGTCTTTTAATCTCGATGAAGCCCTTAGGGGTTGTAAATCCCACCCCATCAGCTTTTGATTGATGGGTTTTTTGGTGTGAATACACAGTTACTATTATCAAAAAAAAAAGTCAAGTGAAGTTAGAGCCAAGCTTAGAAGTTAAGAGGTAAGTCAAAGTAAGTCTTTAAAGTTTTTCAAGAGTCTTTGTTGAACGTTTTAACTTCATTTTCAGGCTCAAGTTTCAAGTTGAGTAAAGAGCATAGAGTTTCAAGTTAAGTAAAGAGTAAGAGTCAAGTGCATCTCTCAAAAGTTATTAGGGAACTACGTATTCCCAAAGAAATTTATAAATGTTTTCACATTTAAGATGAGAGGAAACTGAGATTTCCAAAAGAGTTTTGAGCAGTTTGACTACTATCTCTTTTTGAGAAAAGATGAGTTTTAGGAAAGAGTTTCTAAAACATGATTAGCATAACAAATCGAGTATGTCATCAATGTTTAAACAATATGGTCTCTAGATATACCATCAATGTTTAAGTAGTATGAATATCCCGAGTCATCAATGATCATATTAAAATATGGTTTTGAGATGTTCTTTTTAGAAAGAGTTTTCAAGAGCCTTTGGGCTAAATTTTGAGTAATTATCTCAACTAAAGCAAGATGTGTTTAAAACACTAATGAGCTAAAGTATTTTTGGGAGTAGTTTTGAGCACCAAATTGGGGACACGAGTTCATATTAACTCAACTCTCCATAAGAACCATGTAGCCAAACATAAGATTTGACGGGTCATACTTTTTAGATGATCACGTAAAGTTAAGCTAGTGGATCCACTAAGTTAAAGCGTCCTATATGACGGCAAAGTATAGGACTTCTGGCAGCGTGGACAAGACGATGTATCACCACTTAGACATGTAGTGGTGGCTGTCGGTTAGAGAACTCCCACAGTAGAAATTGCATGGTTCCTCGAGGGGTTCTGCTTAGTGTGGATGGGGGTATGGGACTTCATTCATGCATTGCACAAGTAGACTTTGAGAGGAAGCATAGTATTTTCATGCTATTATAAAAATGATTTTGACGTCATGTTTTAAATAGTTTTGCAAGCTATATATATTGCATGTGTCTCATTGTTTTATACTGAGTTCAGTTATTCATGAGTTGAACAGAGTCAAGGTAAGTTCTCTTTTGTATCCCTTTCAAGCTTAAGTTGTTGTTTAGCTGTCCAGCTCGCATACTCGTACATTCCATATACTGATGCCAGTTGGCCTACATCTTATGATGATGCAGACGCAGGTACCCAGGATCAGCATCCAGCATGCCGTTGATCCAGCTGAGCACTCCAGAGTCAGTGGTGAGCCTCTTTGCATTCCGGAGACTCTGTTATTTTGTGTTCCTAGTTTTGCTCTATTGTATGTTGTGGGGTCTGTCCCAACATCCATCTCAGTATTATAGAGGCTTCATAAATAGTCAGTCAGTTAGTATTGAGTCTCTCATCTATGTATATCTGTAAATATTCTATTTTGAGACTCGAGTTGCCTTTTTGGCCAGATTTTATCAGTTGGATTGTTTTATGACCTTTCATTGCATGAAGTGATTCTGTTGAGTTAGGTTTCCGCTGAGTTAAGAAAGTCAGGCCAAGGGTTCTCTTGGGGGCCAGCAATGGTCTTCGAGTGTCGGCCACGTCCAGGGTGTAGGCTCGGGGGTGACAGTAGGCATAGTTCATAAGATTTATATCCTACTGTGTACACTTCTTATCCATGAAAAAAAAGGACTTGCTAAAAATGTCATAAATTTGTTATCCCCAGAAATAATAGCCACTAAATTATAGTCCATTTTCATTCTAAGTGAAAAGAAAAAAAAAATAGATTGGATATCAATTGTTTGATTACTTCATGTCTTGTTTCTAAACTACCATAAGTCCCGCTATTTTACACCTTATTTTATACTTTCTCTTGCATTCGTAAAATCTACATTAATGGTTAACTTTTATGACCCTGAAATTGTAAAGTGACAGAGCAAAATGTATAAAAAGAAATTATGGAAAGAACTCATTATCATTCAAAAATCATCTGGAGAGCAAAATAGAAAATATGAATATATTTTTAGTAAATTCCATACATGAAGAAATTGTTAATAACATCTCTCCTTATTATCATCTAGAACCACTTCACAGACAGCAATAAGAAACAATGAGACAATGATGTATGTTAATTTCTCGTAAACTCTAATTCTAATGAATTCAAATGGCTGTATTTGCCACAAGAAAAATTATATGCATGAAAGATTATTTAAGAAGACGAATATGCGTGCCTTTTGAAGAATGAAATATCTAATGGACCATCAACTAAATTTGAAATGTTAAATATTTTATATCGAATACTAATGTAGCTTGCAATTATATCAATTAATAGTAATAAATATTCAAGGAAAATTTTCATAAGATGAAAACATACTTGAAGTAATATCCTGCATTAAGAAACTTTTGGTTGATCAATATGTGTTTGAATCCTGAATTAATAGACGGATGTCTCAAAAGCAAAAGTCTCAAAAAGTAATAAACTTACAGCTCCATGATAAAGATCTCTGTTTTGAGTCATTGCCGTGTATACCAAAAAAATAATAAAATGTCGTAAATTGGAGCATTCATGGGGAACAAATTAATGCAGCTGAACAAGGAAATTAACTAGACACTACAACACTAATTACCACCAAACCTTGAAAATGAATCAGCGACATGGTTTGACAATGAAACTAAGATATGTAAATGTTGTTGTTACTTTCCTTCCAACCTCCTGGCTTCCAAACCCCTCAAGTCCAATTTTTCCTTTCCTTATTGCCCTTTACAGATCTTAATTTCTGCTTCTTTGTGCATTTTACGTGCCAGTGATTAGTCTACAAGATAGAACATATACACAATCTTGCCAGACAATTTTTCAATTCCCTTGCACAATTATTAATTCCATTAAGGCTCACTCACATTTTGAACAGCAATATCAATATTAACCCTAATTAAAGAGAAGAACCATCCAACTTGATAAAGAATATCTTAATACAATTTTAGAAAAAAACAATGAATCAAACAGAATGTAATGTGAAAATCACCTGTCTCAGAGATGTTCCTCCACACAAGGCCAAACCATTGTCCCGGCAAGAATGAAGAGTTTCAAACTGTTTGATATCAAGCTTCTTGTTAATAAACCCAACTTGGAAGTAAATACTCCCAGATGATGGGAAATCCACACGGAACTCAAACAGAATGGAATTTGAAAATCACCCTGTCTCAGAGATGTTCCTCATCCACACAGTTATTTATTCCATGAAGGGCTTACTCACACAACAATTATATATTCAATATTTGCTCAACAGAAACGTGCCTGGCTTGGAGAGTTACACTCTTGATCCTGATTTGAATCACAGGCCTCGAATACTCCTCAGGGAAGAGACCGGAGATGGGCTAGATTACAAGCTGCTGCATTTATTTCAACCATCAACATCTCAACAACACCATTTTCAGCAAGAAACGCCTCTTCTATGGCAGAGCGAAGATCATCAGGCGTGCTGTCGTTCAAGTCAGTCTGCCCCTGCAACCTAAACAAAGCTAAATTTCACCACACCCAGACAGTACCAAAAATTTATATCAACATTAGAACATATGTATGACTGTCACAAACCTGTCTACATGTTCCAGAAATGGAAATAGCATCCTGCATCTAATCCATGCATAATCCTGCTCATGAAAATGTGTCATCTTAGTAGATACACCATACTTCATCTTAATCAATGACATGGTTTGGCAATGAAACTAAGATATGTAAATGGTATTATTATAATCCCACCTATCACCTATGTATTTCCCCTTCTTCTTTAGGGCACCTCTATAGGACCCCATTAAAGATTGTTGTTAATTTCCTTCCAACCTCCTTGCTTCCAAACCCCTCAAGTCCAATTTTTCCTTTCCTTATTGCCCTTTACAGATCTTAATTTCTGCTTCTTTGTGCATTTTAGGTGCCAGTGTTTAGTCTACAATATACACAATCTTGCCAGACACAACAATTTTTCAATTCCCTTACACAATTATTTATTCCATGAAGGGCTCACTCACATTTTACACAACAATATCAATATTGACCATCACTGAAGAGAAGAACCATGATGAAATATGCGAGACAACTTGATCAAGAATATCTAAATACATTTTTAGAAAAACAGAATGGAACTTGAAAATCACCTGTCTCAGAGATGGTCCTCCACACAACGCCAAACAAGAATGAAGAGTTTCAAACTGTTTGATATCAAGCTTCTTGTTAATGAACCCAAGTTGAAAGTAAATACTCCCAGACGATGGAAAATCTCATTCACATTTAACCACACAAAGAATCTCTTAACTTCAAATCAGTAATCGACCCAAGACTCAGTTACCTTCTCAGCGTAATAAACCAAATATTCAAAGCTTCTCCAGTAAAACTTCAAATGTTCCATCATCGGAAAGGGAGTAAGATTTTACAGAACCCTTGAGGAAGGTTGAATTTAGTGAGGATTCCGTATACATTTGTCTTGGGGTTCGTGGGTAGATTGAAAGATAGGGAAGAAGGAGATGAGAGGAGGAGGAGGAGGAGATTGAAACCCCCATAGAAAGAGGAGGAAGAGAAGAATAGTCAGTTGGATTGAAAAACCCCATTGTTCTTGATGCCTCCATAGGAGGAGGAATTGGAGGGGATATATACGGAAAGTGATGCTGTGAGTTGTTGTACATAACGGTAAAATAGTTGTACGATTAGCTGCTTCTTGGAAATTGAACGTTATAAAATATGTGGCTCACATTCAAAATTTCTATTGTGTCACAAATCAATCAATAAAGTTAGGTCCAAGTCTAATAAAATTATTAAAAGAAATAAGACCCTTTCCGTTTATATTAATTAATTATCTTAATAAAAATAGTTGTTTGATATTAGTTATTTATCCACTAATCAAGAAAACATTAATTAAGATTTTTCTATATTATCCGTGAGATTAGTACTTTTTAAAAGTGTTCATATTTATCTATAAATTTTCAAAATATTTTTTAAGGAGTGAATTAGTAAAATTATACTCTTATTTATGTATTTTTAATAGATAGATGTGTAAAACGGTAAATGATCAACTAATATGAGACAAAAGAAATAATAATTGATGTTAAAGTAAATGTTATACTATATGTATAGTGTTAAGAAAATCTTAAAAAAAACATGTATATGTAGAAATGGATGCACGTGAATATTTATAAAAAAAAATAGTAGTTAATAGTGATGCATGTATGCATAAAACACGTGGATATATTTTAGGAGTTATATTTTATATTTAAAAAGAAAGTGAAAAAAAGTTTTGAATAAAGTTTTTAAGCCTGATTTCCACTGATTTAATTACGAATCGTAAACCCAGAGGCCGTAATTTGGGCCCATAGGTGGTACTTCAGAAACTTAAATTTCAGTCTAACTTCCATGAATTGGATCTACGACCCGTAGATCAAACCAGAGACCGTAGATGGCCTCGTGAAAGGTTTTCGATAGTTTTTTAATTGGGATTTCTTTTTTATTTTTCCAGCTTTCCTAAGTCTAAGCCACGATATTACGCATATCCTATAAGGTTTTCAAACTTAAGACTTAGTTCCTATAGTTTTATCTCCCTCAAACTCATAAACCACTTTAAGGAAGAAGCTAGGGTTTTCAAGCATCTTCTTCAAGTTTCTTCAAGAACGTTGTTCTTCCAGGTATGTAAGAACAGTTGAGAAGAGTTTTTTAAGGGAACACTAATGATTCAAAATTCACTATTTTGTATTGCGAAAAGTATTGCTAATCTATCTATATATATATATATATATTACCTTAAAAGCATGAACTTTCTAACTTAAATGTTAAATTACTATAATATCTCTAACTTAGGTTGTGACTTTTACGATGAGTTGTGACTTTTCCAAAAAGTTGTGATTTTTTCAATAAGTTGTGACTTTTCGAAAGGGTTGTGACTTCTCGGAAAGGTCATGACTTTTTAGATAAGACACAAAAAACACTTGTTAATACTACCCTTTGTTGATTATAAATAAAGGGATTTCCTCTCATTTTCCAACCACAATTTTTTTAAGCTTCTACTCTTTTTCTTCTTGCATTTTAAAAAATTTCATGTGATTTATTGTCGTTGAGTAAGTTCGAAGTTTAGTGGAATATGAGGTACCACTATTCTGATGAAGTAAATTGTTCTATCCTAAGAGGGTATATTCCTTAACCTCCAGTACTTGAGGAAAATAATTGTGATGATATAATAATTATTTTTTTGCTTAGTATATACATTAGTATGTAATGTTCCAATATATGAAGTTAACATGATGTAGTCTAAATTCATTAGTTTTTGTTAACAATTTCTCTTTTGATGTAGATATATGCTTCTGAATATCTTTTTCAAAAATTATTAAACTTCCCAAGAGTTATAGAATTGTCATGATTTTTTTTTATGTCAAGACAAAAGAATGACTTTATTTATCAATGTTTCTTATATGATTTAGATTGTCAGGAAGTTTGCTTCAAAATAGTTATTACTATATAAACATAGCCCTTTTGTTTTACTGATTTACTGTTTCTTAATACTTAAGGATTTTCGACGAAGAAAAGTTTATATGACTTATAATAACGCCAATTGAAATTTCTATTCATTTAATTTTTATTGTAATCTAAATTCATTTGTTTTTATTAACAATTTCTCTTGTGATGTAGATATATGGTTCTGAGTATCTTTTTTCAAAATTATTAAACTTCTCAATAGTTAGAGAATTATAACGATTTGTTTTTTTGATGCCCAAGACAAAAAAATGAATTTATTTATCAATGCTACTTATGTGATTTAGATTGTCTGGAAGTTTGTTTCAAAATAGTTATTACTATATAAACATTGCCCTTTTGTTTTACTGATTTACTATTTCTTAATATTTCAATATTTTTGACAAAGAAATGTTCATATGACTTGTAATAACGCTAGTGGAAGTTTGTATTAGTTTAATTTTTATTGTAGTCTAAATTCATTTGTTATTGTTAACGATTTCTCTTGTGATGTAGATATATGTTTATGAATATTTTTTTCCAAAATCATTAAACTTCTCCAGAGTTAGAGAATTATCACGATTTGTTTTTTTTTATGCTCAAGACAAAATAATTACTTTATTTATCAATGCTACTTATGTGATTTAGATTGTGAGGAAGTTTGCTTTAAATAAAAATTAATATACAAAAATATTCTAAAAAATAAAATGTAGTTGTTCTCCACATTATCATATGACATCTAAACAAACTAAGTGGAATACACATCAAAGCACATCTGGTTAGATGACAAGAAAAATACACAACAAATATCGTCTATAAGATAATATTAGTGAGTTATGACTAATTAAATGATTGAACCTCATCAAATTGAAATAAATATGTACATTATTGCATTTAAATAATAAAAAAATTCATTGACTATCTTCATATGTTCGTGTGAATAAGAGATATATATGACGATCCACATTGAACATTCACAAAAGAATATATAATATTATTTTGTGCAAAACTTATTATTCAAATCTTTGCTTAAATTTTCTGAATTGATAATCATGTGCAACGCACGTGTCGAGAATCTAATTTAATAAAAGCATAAATAGTTTTAAAGAAGTTTCAGTAAGTAAAGTAAAGATCAGTTTTTCCCTAAAAGGGTCTTTCGAGTATTAACTCGACCCAATGAGTATTATTATATGAAAATTAATACTTATATTTTAGGAGTAGTATTGAGCACCGATTTGGGTAAGAGTTAATACAACTCAAACCCAATAAAATGTGTCGCCAACATAGATAGGATCATACCGAAATTTGGACGACTCCTCACCAGCCTCAAGAAGGCTTTTAGTAGATCCATAAGTTAACTTGCGTCCTATACCACGGCAAGGTATAGGACAATTCTAGCAATGTGGAAAGATGTTGTATTATCACGAGTCTCATAGTGATGGTTGTCGGTTAGAGAAACTCCCACAAAAAGTAAAGTAGATTATTTTAGTATTTACTATCATTGCATGCCTATTGTAAAGCTTTTTAATTATTTCATTCATATTCACGCTTTACTTCAGTTTAGTTATTTTTAGTCTTTCATTCAAATCAACTATTTGTTTCCGTCATCTTTATTATATATTGTACATTCCATGTACTAACATCATTCGAAGATCCATAGTTTTATGATGTAGATACAGATAATCAGGATCATCAACATGTGCTTCATTGAGATCACATCACTCACTCGTCATCTTTTGGTGTGGCCGCCTTACTTGTGGAGGACTCCAGGTTTATTGCTTAGTAGTAGTGTTTGTAGGTTGTCGTGGTCTTGTCCCGAAGCATATGTTTAGAAAGTAGAGGCTTCATAGATAGATAAAGTTAGAGACACATTTCAGTTTCTTTTCAGATATTTTAACAAACTTTTTGTCATTTATACTCAGTATTTTCAGACAGCTTTGAGACTCAGTTTATTCTTTAAATGTTCATCAGTTTTAAGCTTCCGTATGCATGTCTTAATCTTCCGCGAAGTAGTCAGTCAGACCAAGAGTTCTCTTGGGACCAACAATAATTTCTAAAAGTCGCCCACGTTCAGGGTGTAGGCTCGGGGTGTGACACCTATTTATCTTGTATGTACTCTCAAATGGGCACAACTACTTCAAGCTTCCCTCTGTGAGCATTACATCTATACTTTACCTTAAAAAATGAGCCTTCCATAGCTAGTACTAGAGCAGTTGACAGGTGACTGACAAAAATTGCCATGGTTTTCACATTATGCAGAATTGTGAGGTTGAGTCAAGATCGCATCCTCATTGGTGTGATGACGACGAAACCAATGAAGAACTCCATCAACAAATTTACCACTACCCCATGTACACAATCCAGCTTCTCTCCAAAACTTTTGTGTTAATTCGTTATTCTTCGTTAAACCATGATTTATGCAGAGATGGACATAAGGAGATAATGAAGATTCATAAGTGTTTCAATGGAGGAAGGAGATAAAGAATATTAAAGAAATGGGTTTGGAGATTTAATTTGGTATGAATTCATTTGATTAAGTTGATCGGATTTGGATAAAGAAAGGAAATTGGATAATTTTAGTTGATTTGGGGATTTTCATCCAATTGAGGGGGTACATATAATAAGTTTATTAATGGTAAGGGTATGAATAACTTGATATTATAATTAACAGTAAGCTAAGGTCAACTAATAAACGAAAGGTGGGGGGTATTTTTTTTTAATCTTTTTTCCTATATTAAATTTACTCAAGAATATTGTTTGGTAAAAGGCAATAATTCACCTCTAAACCTGCTCCAAAAAGTCAGTTTCACGTTTAAATT